GTCTTTGGTGAATAGACCTACTTTGCATTTATTATTTTAATCTTTTTAATGAATTGCTCTGAGTGCAAAAGGTGTAGCAAGTTAAATGGAAAAATATAAAACAAATAAATTCAAGTCAGAGGTCTAAACAAATAAAGAATCTTGTGGCAACTTGAATACTGACTGGCTTTATGTGGCACAAGTGTTTGTGGATTGCAGTCCACTTTCTCAGATAAAAGTTCTGGAAAGTTTTAACAAATCAAAGTGGTTTGGCTTTAAGGTGTAATATCTCATGATCAGAGCATGTGTATATGTATCTCATCCCAACATTTTAGTCAGCACCCCTCAACCCTTCTCGGATCATAAACTGTCAAGATTACTTGTTGTCTTTCCTGTAAATACGTATACTAAGATATTTGCACAATATTATATGCACAAACCTGAGTACAGTTAACCAGGCAAGATTTAAGATACACAAAATCTGATATTAAAAAGAGCAAAACACAGAATTAGGACAAATGAATTCTTTTCTACAAAAGAGGTTTTTCTGTTCTAAACTTAAACTAGAATTCTTTCTTAATGGATTATATTTTTAGCACTGTAGTCCTCCTGTACATTTGATTTATTTGATCTGTAGAGTACCAGGTCAAGCTGCCCCTTATCTTCCTGTTAGGATGACACTACAAACCCTGTTGACTGTTCTGACAGCTTTCATAAAGTTTGAGTTAATATTTCTCTCCAGTATTAACCTTGTGCTGCTCAACATTAAAGAAATCGATTAGGGTTCTGTAAGATTAGAGGTCCCACTTAGTTTCAATTGACATTATGTTTTTTTTTACTCTATTGTACTGGATGATCCTTAGAATAAGATAAAAATAACAGCAACACAAAACACGTTTCTATGCATTTCCATAATATTCCACACCAGTGGCATGACTCAATAGTGTTTATTTAATTAACTTTAAAAGTCACACGTTTCTATGCATTTCCATAATATTCCACACCAGTGGCATGACTCAATAGTGTTTATGTAATTAACTTTAAAAGTCACACATTAAAAATATGCTGCTTGCTTATTAAAATAGTCATATGGAAGCATTGTAAGATTAAATTGACACTAAGGTCTGTGCTCAGGCTGTTAGCTTCATGACTCTGAACTTGAGTCTACATCTTGTCAGTGTGCAAACAGTTCCAGTGGATCCTACTGCAGTTCAAAGCAGTTATGTAGGTTTTTGGAAAATTACAAAAGGATGGCCTGAAGTGTTACACATCTGATACAGTGTGTTTCAAGTTCAAGTGCCTCAGTTTCCCCTTGTGGTACCATGCATTGCTAGGTATTCAAAAGATTGCTCCACCTCTGGTAATTCCTTGGTTTCGCCTCCACTCCACCAACTCCAGTAGGAGCTAGCCACCACTAGTTCATAGCTACCAGCCCTCACCCCCTTCCCCACACTTCTGCTCACCCTGCATAGGAGACTCTGCTATGTAAAGGAGGAAAGATTATTCTGTTTTTGAAAAAGGTCAGTCAAGGACTTTTCTGGAGGAATCATTGGGGCAAGGCAATCTTGCTGCTCTGAGGCAAGTGCAGTTCTCTCTCTCTCTCTCTCTCTCTCTCTCTCTCTCTCTCTCTCTCTCCTTTGCCTGGGAGGGATTACAAATGGT